CGGGATGGGGTCCAGGAGACCTGTTGATGATTTAGATGAAGCAATTGTTGAGGTCAACTCAGAGAGATCTATAGGGGAGAAGTAGTCCAAGTATAAATGAGGTCTTCCAGATGTTTCTAAAGCCATTGTAGTAGATGGCACATCTGCGAGAGCTGTGGGAGTGGTCCGACCAATTTTTTCTCTAATAGTTGTGATTTTATTTGTAAAGAAGCTCATGAAGTCATTGCTGCTGAGATCTAAGGGAATGTTAAGCTCAACAGCACTGTGGCTCTTTGTCAGCCTGGCTACAGTGCTGAAAAGAAACCTGGGGTTGTTCTTATTTTCCTCAATCAGTGATGAATAAAATGTGGTTCTGGCACTATGAAGGGCTTTCTTATATGTTATTAAACTATCTTTCCAGGCTATGAAAAACTCTTCTGACTTAGTGGAGCGCCACCTCCTTTCCATTTTTTGTGATGCCTGCTTTAGGGAGCGGAGCTGCGAGCTGTACCACGGGGCTAGCCTCCTCTGTTTCACTACCTTCTTTTTCAGAGGGGCAATGGTATCAAGTGTATTACGCAGGAAGGCTGCAGTACTATCAACAAGATTATCGATTTGTGTGGGAGTAAGGTTAAGGTGGCCTCCTTCCACTGTGTTGGCAAACGGCACTGAAGTAGATAAAGATGGAATTATTTCCTTAAACTTGGTAACAGCATTGCCAGATAGACATCTGCTGTAGTGGAATTGTTTCCCACATAGAGTATAATCCATTAATGGAAATTCAAAAGTTATTAGAAAATGGTTAGACAGAAGAGGGTTATGGGGAAAAACTATTAAGTGTTCAGTTTCGATGCCATATGTCAGAACAAGATCAAGAGTGTGATTAAAACAGTGAGTGGGTTTATTTACAGTTTGAGAGAAGCCAACTGAGTCTAATAATGAACAGAATGCATTGTTGAGGCTGTCATTGTCGGCATCTACATGAATATTAAAGTCGCCTACTATGATTATTTTATCTGTACTAAGCACTAAATCAGACAGAAAGTCTGAGAATTCACTTAAAAACTCTGAATAAGTAGCAGGTGGACGGTATACAATAACAAACAGAACAGGCTTTTGAGTTTTCCAGTTTGGGTGTGAGAGACTCAGGGTGAGATTTTCAAATGAGTTATAACTATGTTTAGGTCTAGGGTTGATTAATAGGCTTGAGTCAAAGATCGCTGCCACGCCACCACCTCGGCCTGTGTTTCGACGGCTTTGACAGTTATTGTGACTAGGTGGAGTGGATTCATTTAGGCTGACATATTCCTCCTGCCTTAACCATGTTTCAGTAAGACACAATAAGTCAATGTGATGTTCACTTATCAAATCATTCACTAACAGAGATTTAGATGAGAGAGATCTGATATTTAATAGTCCACATTTGATTGTCCTATTACTTTCTACTATAAGAGGAGTCATCTTAATTTTAATTAGGTTCTTATGAATAACTCCTCTGGAGTTGATTCTTGATTTATATAATTTAGGTGGGCGGGGGGCAGACACAGTCTCTATGGGGTACTGGGAGCGTTGGGTGGGTAGCAGCTGCAAGGAGACAGCAGAGAGGCGTGTAAGACTGCGACCCTGCATCCTGGACTCAACTCTGGGTTGTCATAATTTAGGTTGTAAAACAAACTCGTCCAGATTTCTAGATAAGAGAGCCGCACCACCCAAAGTGGGATGGATGCCGTCTGCTGTGTGCAGAAAGTGCCAGTGTTGTTTGCCTTTGTTCAGCAGTCAGATGGTGGATGTGCATTCCCAGCTGATTGGTCCAAACAGCCTGCAGCAGCTGTCTGCATACAATCACTACAGGTAGCTTGTGTGCAGTGGTTGTGGCAATTTTTTTATTTTTTATTATTTTTTTTTTGTGCTCTAGTTTGCCATGTACTCCGTTACAAGTACAAAAAATTTGCACTAAACAATTTCACTGAGAAAATCCATTGAATTTCAACCAGAACTTCCAGTTCCTGTAAAGGAAGTCGTCTGTATATGCTGTGGTACAGAAATACTTAACCTGTCTGTGAGCGAACAAAAACCGAGATTTCAATTAGCCAGACCACAGAAAGGACTGGCAGGACACACCATGTTGGAATTTCAACAACATAATTTAATCTGCGCCTGTCAATATTTTTCACTGCTGTTAAAGCTGTGTCCTGTATTTACCTAGCTGGAAAAACACTTTAGTCTGTGCCCTCTCCTCAGTATCATAACAAAGGGAAGTGCCGCTGTGTACAAAAGGTGCTGAGGTAATATGAGAACCACCGTCTTCCTTCAGCACGCTGTTGGGTCTTTTTGCACTTCCTTTTAACTCCTGGGCTCAAGCCTTGTGTTTTGATTGACACCCATCTACTAGTCAGCACATCTACAGTACAGTAAGCCGCTTGCTTTTAGAAATTCCTTTTGTTGTTCTTCCTATTTTGGATGTGTGTTTTCCAGGAATGTAAGGAAAATTATGAGGTTAACAAATATGGAATGTGGTGTCAAAAGAACATGCTGTGGTTTTCATGCATTGTATTTTATTTATTTTTTTTTAACAAATTTAATGTAGCATTCAAGTTGAAATAACATATTAATGGGCACACTGCCTGCAGCTGTAGTCCAGCAATCACAAAGTCAGTGCAGACTCTGATGGATGTCTAAATGTACTAGGATGCCTCTACTTGCGTATTTTAAAAAAATAAAGTGGAGTCACGTGATAAGTTTGGTGAAGGTGTAAACATTTTTAACTTCTGTGACTCCTTTGCCTCAATTTGCACTACCCAGAGTGAATTTATTTTTGATTTTATTTTGTCCTGGTGTTGATTTTTAATACACAGTTATGACACCACTGTGTTCAGGCTGAGCAAACCACTGAGAGGAGGCCAAGGAGATGGTTGGGTGTATAAAGCCTCTAACATACACTCATCGTTTACTAGGTACACCTGTATAATAGTATGAGTTTCAATGCAACACTGCCGCCTTAACATATGTGTTTATGAAGTTCAAGTGTCTGTTTTTGGTGACACTGTCATAAATGTATAAGTTCAATTCTATGTTTATTAATGAGGTCATAGTTAAAGGTGGTGTTATACTGGACTACATTATACTCAGAAGTGGTTTTAATATTCTGACCTTCTCATGTATGTAACCGTGGAGAACAAAATATAGACACCTGTACAATTGTACAGGGCGCATGTTTTATCTCCTACCAGGTGTCAGCGTTGCTTTCCTTCAACAATAACCATGATCTTTCTTTAATTCTGTTTAGAGCGCACTCTGCGTTCCCCGAGGAACAGTGGTGTAAGAAGTATTCAGATCCTCAATGGCACTTTGGTAAAATATTCCATTACAAGGAAAAAGTCCTATCTGCGCATAAATATGCATATGCACCTGCATAAATATTATCAGCACAATATACGTAATACAAACAGTACTAGTATTCAGGCAAAATGATACCTGCAAATGGTTATGTAGCTGTGAAATAATATGTATTGTAACCACAGCATCACTGGACACAGATGAATTTCTATGTAGTTTATGGGACAGAGAATGAATAATAACATATTCCAAATATGTTTCAGATGAGAGATTATATGATCTTTTTTTAACTGTCCTCTTAATTGCAGGCTTATCATGTGGAAAATTGTCTTAAGCGCTAAAACAACCCTTCTTTTCTTCATTCCTAAAGCCTGTATTTTTCAGATCCATATGGTTTTCATTCAAACCTGTGACACCATCACCACCTACAGTAATCCATCAATGAAACATGAACATCTGACACTGAGGAATGGAAGATAAGATTTAAACTTGTACATTTGTCTTCAGAAAACCACTAAAGACTTTTTAGATGGTAATAAAACAGGGTGTAGATACAGTAAATTTTAAATGCCAGAGTTTTTAGAAACCACAGGCATGGTTTTCAATAAAAAAAATGGTTCTCAGCACTCCCCATCTGAACTGCTCAGTTGCACACTGCCAATGCTAAAATAACTTTAACAATTTAATGACACCAAATTATATGTCTAGGCATCAGAGTTTTGTTACCTGCTGCAAATCATGTCAGCAAAATCTCAAACCCATTCTCTGTTAAATTACTGTGTACAATAGTGTTAAGTCTTTTAAGCCAGTGGTGGCTTCAGAAGCTTATTATTCACAGCTGTTGCTCCAAAGATCTAAGAGGATAGAACTCTGTTTGTGGAACAACCGATGAAGTGAAATTATCCAAGTCACAGATAAAAACTTTGATAATTTGTCAGCATGTTTGATCTGACTCGGATGTCACCTGCATAAATTACATTAATTTCTGATAGATGCAGACACAGGTGTGCAGAGCTCCTGCAGCACCCATCTGGCAATCGTACAGTAATTAGGTAGGACTGTACATACGCTGCAGTCCGACGAGATGAAATCAGTTTCCACCTCAAGGCCTTGGGAGCAGATCTACTCAAGAAGAATTTCCTGACTTCACTTGAAGGAGCTGCTGTCACAAACAAACACTTCAGGAATAATGTGTTCCTTTTTTGCACTAATCCAAGGTTAAAACCCTTACTGAACATCACTGCAACAATGCCATGAGAGTGCAGCTTTCATCAAGAAGTATCTGACACCACAACAAGCTTCACGGGTGGCTAATCCATTTTTTGTTGTTTTAAAGGGCAGTGATTTTGGATTAATGTCTTGTTGGAGTCACCCTTTCAAAGAATTCCCACTGTTTCATTGTGGAGACCTATATCAGCCTCCACATTGGAGATGACTTTAATTAACTTTCGAGCAAAACAGCACACTTGTACACTGTAAGAGTTCTACCCAAGTGCCCTTTAATGCTTTTAGTCAATTTCCCAAACACAGTGGGTGAAGCTATAATGAAAAACTATTCAACGTGGCCAATCTAGTGTGTCCAAAATGGTATAAAAGAGCATGATAGGGTCTCAAAGTCAAAACAGCAAAGCAAGAGCTCTGGAAAGAGATTCGACCACAAAGCCCAGCACCTGACACCACCTAGAAGATCTTCATTCACCATGAGGCGGTCACTCATGTCTGTCATTGTTGCTGTAGCACTCTTATTCGACTGCGATGCACTGTCGGTGTCATTACCCTTGGGCAAACCTGAAGACAGCTCCTTGGAGCAGGATACTTTTGTCTCACTGCTGAGCGATGAGGCGACAGAAAATGGCCTCAGGGATGCAGATGTGGCCACAATGACCAAAACCCCAGGACCAAGGGTAATCATTGTCGCCGAGCCAAGCCTGCGGAGGGACCTGCGGGTGATGCACAATGGGCTTTCCTTCTCCAAGCGAAGAGCTGACGACAACAGCCAGGTCACTGAGCACAGAGATGCCAGCCAGGACTTGAACATCCCCATTCTGAGGAGGGACACCATGAGGTGCATGGTTGGACGGGTGTATCGGCCATGCTGGGAAGTCTAGCGCAGTTTGCTCTGCTCGTCAGTGCCAAAACAGAGGACCACCACGCTTTCTGCTTCACACAGAGCTGTAATATAACCCAAATATTGTGTTTCTATATTTAAATTATGGCATATCTGAGAATAAAAATAATTTAATTCTGCCTTATGTCTTGTGCATGTTTAAGATTTCTATCTACTAAAACTAAAACTGGAGTGTTGAAGGTTAGAGTTCTACTTCCAGATCTGTACAGAAGTGTTTGTATGGTTATTGTTGAGTTTTAGACAGAACCTCCAGTCTTTCTGCTGAGTTAGACTAAATGCCTCTTCATACGACATACAGACATGAGAATGATATCAATTTCCTAATCTAAGTCTCAGAAAGAAAGTAAACAACCATATTTCTCCCAGATGTCATGCTACTAATTTAACATGCAAGGCCAGATACAGCTGCACTAAAAAAAAAAGTAGTTACTGTAAAATAATGGTGTAGGCTGCAATTTGACTTCTTCTGGAGGTATACTGTAGAGCTGGTTCAACATAGACATCCGTCATGGGAGGAGTCACCTTGATGACCCCTATGACTTGCCACTTTCAACAGCTCCCATTTCTTTTTAAAATTACAGACAGATTTTCACATTGGGCGGCATGGTGAAACAGTGGTTAGCACTGTTGCCTCACAGCAAGAAGGTTCTGGGTTTGAGCCCCTGCCAACCAGGTGCCTTTCTGCACAGAGTTTGCATGTTCTCCCTGTGCCTGTGTGGGTTCTTTCTGGGTACTCTGACTCCCTCCCACAGTCCAAAGACATGCATTTTAGGTTGACTGGTGACTTTAAATTGCTCTTTGGAGTGGGTGTGGGTGTGGGTGTGGTGTGTGTGGTCGTCTGTCTCTGTCAGCTCCCCGCAGAACAACGGGGAGACCAGCTCCGATTGGACAGGAGCTCATCTTCCAATTGAGATGTGCATTGTAATAAGTCTAGATCATTAAGCTCTAGTCATTTCCTGAGTTTTGCAGATGTGGCCTGCACATCTGCTCTCAACTAGCAGAGTCAGGATTCAATAAAAATGGGCCCTTGAGTCAATCAGGATAAAATCATTCTTCCTGGTGTTCCATAAGCATCAATTACAGATGGTTTGGCTCATTATAACTGCTGTGGCTCCCACCAAATAATGAAGATCCACAGACTGAAACATAGAGCTAACTATGTGAATTTTATTGACATCAGAGAAAACAAATGTAACCATAAGATGCAGTAAAGCATTGGTGCTGCAGAATAATGATCTGGTCCAGTTGTGATTTGTGAATAACTACAGCACATTCCCTGAAATAAAATAAAAACAAGCTGCTGTTGTGGGTGAGTCAAAATGGTTACTTTAACTGCAGGATGTCTCTCTCTCTCTCTCTCTCACACACACACACACACACACACACACACAAAAGAAAGTGAGAGCAATGAGTCAGCAGACGAAATATTGTGTTTCTGGAAATGTGTGCACCTGCTTTGTGAAGTAAGCTTCTAGTTTCTACAAAGTAAACCCTTTTAATTTTGGTAACTTCTAAATAAGTAAGTAATAAGTAACAGCTTTTACCATGTAAGAGCAGATTTTTGAAAATCTTCAACAATTTTTTGCTCCCCAGGATGACAGATGACCTTAAACCACACTAGTAGTGTATTTGTATGGAGGGCAGGGCCTCTCTGTTGGTCCACCACAGACTACCCAGACTTAACTATCATCACAGCTATTCAGTGGCTTCTTATGTAACTTAGTACAGATATTCATGGCCCTCAGAGGATGAATCCTACTGACTATGATGATGCTTAACCATTCCTCTAGCACCACTATCAGTTTTTTTTTGAGTAAAATATTTTTATGACTATTACTTGAATGGATTAACATATAATTTTGTACATTCTGGGTCCCCTGATTTTGCTTCTTACACCATCAGCAGGTCAAGTTTTGAATTTGTCAGCCTCAGCTGCACTTTGTAATCAGAGATGTGTGTGTTAGCAAAATTGTAGCATGCTAACACATTAAACTGAGATGATATTCAAGACAAACATTATACCAGCTAAATATCAGCATGTTAACATTATCACTGACTATGTTAGCTTAACACAACAATCGACAGCATTTTGTAGAGTCATTGTGGCAGCGCAGGCAGCCATCACACCAACACTGATGGATTTGATTTGATTTGATTTGATTTATTCTTTCAAACATGTAAAGACAGTCAATATGTCAACACACATAATTTCACACATATCCACAAATGCATTATCAATTTGCTTATACCTAGTACATGCTTGAACGGAGTAGGAAGAAGTTAGACTTTTCTAGTCCTACCCCATATTTGAAAAGGTAGTTAACAAGTCGTAATCTCAGGAACATTTACTAATGATGTGTAAGTGTAATTATGCTAAATAAACAATGTCCAGCAGATTGATATACCTATTGCACTGTGTATTCCTGTTTGACAGTCATTCTTCACAAACACTATGCTATAATGCTTCAGGTCTTTGTCTGTTAAAGTTTCCTAAATTGCTTGTGAAAGTGGTGTTGTAACTTATGAATACAAACACAAATTAAAGCTTATACTGCAGCAAGCTGAAGTCTGCTTAAATAAAAGCAACAACAGTTCCTATGACAAAAAAGGGAATGTAAACTTGAAATTAAATCTCATTGGCATAATCACAGAAAAAAAAAATCTTTATCAAATTATTCAATTTTTGTATCGGGCTTCACAATAAACGCTCGGCCCATAAGTGCTCCTGTTATTCGAAGGATTAAAAGGCAGTCTGTATTCTCTGCAGGGAGGCATTGTAAGGCAGGCTTGTCTTGCCTGTCACTTCTTCTGGAAGAATAGCACTATTAATAGCTAAGGAACGGCAGGAGAAAGGTTAGCTATCCTTTGAAACTGTCTTGGACTTTATTATTCAAGGGTGGCAAGCACAGCTTGGCTGTCTGCTTCATGCTACACGTTCAGTCCCTCCTTTCCCCAGAACAATTTTGTTTAGGGAGATAACACTCTTAAGAAGTCTATGAACAGGTGAACTCAGTAAATGGGAAATTAATGAATGTGATACTTCCTAAACGATGACTTTAAAATCTGAATTACTGCAATAAATGCACAGAAATTAGACTCGGGGACTGCAGAAACATACTCAGTATATTCATGCATGGTGCAGCTGTAACACAAGGTACAGGGCAGGATAAACAATATACTATAAATTTAGACATTACAATGTTAATGATGCATCAGAACTTGAATAAATAAAGGCATGGTTACAGTGAGGTAGCACATTTATATCTACAGTGGACAAATGACTATATAATCAACTGTGACATGGCACCAAAAACCACTGAACCAAAGTGTTGACTTGATGAAACCCAGAACATTTTCCATGACTTGTGTAGCCAGATGCCGAAAGGAGGATGGATACTGTTGATTGTCACTTGCTGGTTTACACTGACCAGACACCTAAACAGAAGCAGCAGCATCTGTAGGCACAGGAGTGCTTTTGAAGCCACCTAAGCACAGTATGCATGATTTCTTAGCATCTTTATTACAAACTTTACTGTATTCATAACAATTTACATCAAGGTAATATGTTTTTAAGCTAGTATGGAACAAAGGATCTGGATATTGATGGCTGTACCATTTGTTTCTCTGTAATATATATCTTTTCTTGACTTATTTGCCTTTGTACTATTGGATCCCTGTGATGTATTTCATCTTCAGTGTTGGGCAAATTATTTGAAATTTGTAGTCAGTGTATTGATTACACATTCACTGAAAATGTTATTGTATTATCTGATTATTATGACACTTCCAGCTGGTGGAAGTATGTCTCTCACCCTCATCCTCTGTTGGCTAGTAGCTGATGTGAACTTGACCGTGTGCAAAATAGCCCACCTAGAACAAAAACCAAAATGCCTTTAAGCAATGCAGTAACAGAGCCTGATGTGAATTAGTATCTGCAACAGCATTACTGTTTCTGCTTTATTGGCCAGGTGTGTTGGACACACGAAGAATTTGACTCAGGTACATCGGCTTTCAATGTGCAAACAGTAAACCAGCATAAGGCTGTGTAATATAACAAAAATAAGCAGTATTTACAAGCAACAAAGTGCAAACAATGCAGAATAAGCAGTATAAACAGACAGTAACAATGCAGACAAAATTGTAATTACTTACAGTAGTTA